AGTCCTGGCTAGAACTAGATAACACTGCTAGTCGTAAACTACTTGTGGGTGTTTTGTTATAAACCCCCAAATATAGGGGAAGAGGAGGAGGCTCACCTACACTCCCAAATAGAAATAGCTGGGAAGCAGGGCAATGTTGTTGTAATCGGTGACTTTAATTATCCTGACATCGATTGTTCTAATGGAACCTCTCAATCGATAAAGGCGGCCCGTTTTCTGAACCTGTTGAGGGACAATTTCATGGATCAAATGGTTGAGGTTCCAACTAGGAAAAAGTTAATATTAGATTTATTAATTTCCAATAATGGGGACTTAGTTGCAGACATAGCCATTAGGGATGTAGATCGTTGGGGGGAACCCTCCGCACACCTCACAGCAGTCCCGGCCAGTTAAGAGATGATGGTGCTCGCAGTGACATTGGTTCACGGATCTGGTCATGTTTTCTGCCTTGAGGAAGGGACCCTGCGTGGCCCCAAAACGTCGGTTCTTTTGATCCCTATGACGCCTCTGTCCAATAAAAGGACATATTTGCTTTGATTACTGAGTGCTGGTGATTCCCTGCTTTTTTCATAGCCATTAGGGAGACACTGGGCAATAGTGATCACAATGTGATTACTTTTAATATTTAAAGCGCTGCGCAAACTGTTGGCGCTATATAAATCCTGTATAATAATAATAATAATATTGGGTACAGAAAAGAGAAGGGTGTTGGTCGGACAAGAACACTAACCTTCAGGAAGGCTAACTTTGATAAGCTACGCCAGCTAGTATGTGACACCGAATGGAAAAATTTATTTCTCACACTGAACACGACCCAGAAGTGGGATTATTTTAAGAATACATTACATAATGCTATTACCAAGTGTATACCAAGTGTATACCGTTGGGTAACAAAAATAAAAGATCAATAACTAAACCTGTTTGGCTAAATAAGACAGTTAAAAAACACACCAAGGACAAGAGGGTGGCATTTGAAAAAATATAAGATGGAGGGGACGGCTTTGACATTCCAAAACTACAAGGAATGTAAAAAGAGATGTAAACATGAAATTCGGGCAGCTAAAATAGAGTGCGAGAAGCATATCGCCACAGTTAGTAAAAGGAACCCCAAAAAATTCGACCAATATATAAACAGTAAAAAGGTAAGAAAGGAGCAGATAGGCCCAATAAAGGATGAAAATGGGAGATTAGTCACAAACGACAGGGAGAGGGCTGAAGTGTTGAATACTTTTTTCTCCTCGGTTTACACTCTGGAAAAGGATGGGTTTAATGTAGATAAGAATGCAAGTGTCTTGTTGCAAAATATACCTCAGTGGTTGACGGAAGCGGGGGTTCAACATAAACTTGAAGGACTGAGGTCACTGGTTGCCATAAGCTGAGCAGAATGCTCTGGCTGGTGCCCTGTCGAGCTCCTGGCAACCAGTGATGCCAGTGAGCTCCGTGGGATGCCAGACCGAGGTACCGTGCACCCCCCCCCTCCAACACAGCAAAACCCAGGTACCGTTCCCCCCCCCCTTTAATGTGAACCACCAGCATAACCCCCCGTAACAAGTACCGCCAGCACCCCCACCCCCCGCAAAGTGTAGGGATGGCCTTGAGAGTGACAACACTCTTCAGACTGCAGTTGTGTAAGACTATTTGCCCTGCTCCAACCACTCATTGCCATAGACATTCAGAGATCTGAATGCATAACACTCCTTGAGATGTTAGGGCCCAAGTACGCGTGGTACATTTAAAGCTGAGGTTCAATATGCTTATTTTTTGCATTGTTTGGTTCCTTCTTTCCCCTTCATCAACATGCTAATATATAAAGCATGCTAATAAAATAAAACATTTCTGTTTTCATTAATACCTTATTATAGATTCATAGACTTATTAATAACATCATCACAGGCTCTCTGTGCAAAGGGAGGCAGACCATGGCTGGTGGGAGGAGTCGTCAGAGTTTTATACATTGCTTCTTGAAAACATCACAGCTCCCTGTCTCATCATTTCTTTCATAACCTTCAGCCCTAATGCAAGTGGCACGGAGTCTCCAAAAATCAAAATGCCATCATGATTGGGTGTCAGTCTGGAGAAGTGTGCACTCCTAGGCAGGCAGCATTTGCATGCAAACCACCTTCCCTAGGTATAGCTCATATAAGATGATAAGTCTCCATATTTGAAAATACTGTAATCCAAATAATTAAAGGAGTAGGCCCGGGACAGGCAGGGTGGGGAGAGAAGACTAGCTGGTGCTGCAGGTCCTCCAGCCAGAAAATTAAGTGGGCTTGCTGCAGCTAGTGAGGCACATCGTAAGAAGCTCACAGTATGCAGTGAAATCTGAATAGGCAATTTCTATGCTAGAGACGATCCTACACAGCTGTGCAAGACTGGAGGTAAGGCTGGAGGTTAGCTTTAATTCCTTACTAGCATTGCATTAATCTTTTGTTAACACACTCTCATTTGTAATAAAATACATTATAGATTACGGATTATTGAGAAATGGTATGATAGTGAAATGTGGTTTTTGTTTAATTACTAGGTCATACAATCCAACTGACAAGTTTATTGTTGCTGGAGCCAACTCCCCACTGCAATATCCAGTACAAGGCTTGGAGGTCCGACCGCTAAAAACAATGCTGATACCAGGTAAGTGACACATCGCTAGCCAATTAACCTGGCTCTGTCTCAAATATCATTGTACAGCCATAGAAACCCTTAAGCCCAATACCTGCAGATAGAGAGATAGATAGATAGATAGATAGATAGATAGATAGATAGATAGATAGATAGATAGATGGATAGTCATTTCTAAATAAAGTTTTTTTCTTTCCGGCAGCATAATTATTAGTCTAGTGCAGCCTTTCTCAACCAGGGTGCCTTCTGGCTTCCTCAGGGGTGCCTCGAAATTTTTTGCACAGCTTCATGCCTTTTGGCCTGCACCATGGAAATGAATGACTCTAACCCAGGAAGGGTGAGATTCATTCAGAAAAATTACAGAAGTACTTCTCTGTCCAGTCCTGTTCCACCTCCTGCCCTCTACCATGCTTCCCTAGCTGTGGCTCCTAATGTGATGGTAGGACCCCAGTGAGAAAAATGGGTACTCCGATATGAGTACCCGTGACTGAAGGGTGCCGTGACTGAAAAATGGTTGAGAAATTTTGGTCCAGGGAGTCTCAGCCATCTCACTTCAAAAGTCATCCTGATCTGTAAGAATGTGTTTTCATAAGCACTAATGATTATCCAAATCACACATGAGTCAATAGATTTGGTCGTATGGTTATACACTGCTCAGTGGTATGTTTGTACGTTTGACATTCCTAAGGTTCCCCCTAAGGTCTCATCTGAAATAAACTGATCTGCAGAAATGCATTCCCTTTGTGTGAAGATCTTACCTGGAAAGGGTTAAGGCTGCCATTTAAAGGAGAACTATGAGATGAGTGATTTCCACTCACCTCATAGTTCTAGCCGACCTGTGACAATGAGACTGTCACAGGTCGGCTCAGTAGATCGGGAGGTGAGCGAACACATACCAGGTTCGCTCACCTCTCGATCCTGTCACGGCTCTCTGCCGTGACAGGGGGAGGGGCTGGATTCCCCTCTCCGATCTGTCAGCGCTGACTGGCGGAACGGACAGGGAGGGGGCGGGTACAGCTGGCTCTGCCTCTAGATAGGCCAGCTGGGCGGATCCCGTCATCTACGTCGGGATCCGCTCCGGCTGCAGCGTCTCAGTATACCGCGAGCTACAGCTCGCGGTATACTGAGCTTAGGGTAACGGGAGGACGCTAGTTTGTGTCCTCCCGTTACCCTAAGGAGAACTATGGGGGAAAACACTGACCCCATAGTTCTCCTTTAAGCTTTTTACATCTTACTTTGACTGTAGTGTATTTGTAATTCAAAACCTGTACATGCTAGGACTTGTGCATTTAGTGCTAGTTTGCATTTTTAAGAAAAGCAGGGGAGACCAGAGTGCAGAATATGACGGCACAGTGAAATATTGTTCTGTACAGAGATGTGTTCTTGTACAAAGGACTGAAAAGACAGATTCCAAAAACTCACGGCATGCTGTCCTTTTCTCTAAGGAAAAAGTGATGGTAGTTGAATGTGCAAGCATAATACTATTGTCCTATAAGGCTGCTGGTGAGTCTCTAAGCACAAGTGCCTGGTTATGCTAAGCATTTGTGCTTTTTCTATGGTGAGAGGAAGGGGCTAAACGTGTGCTTACATTTTATGGTGCTGGCTTATCAGGGAAAATTCTCATTTTTTTAACCTGTCCATGTCTATGATCTGTAAACAGGTGATAATCATGTCATATTCATGAATACTTTCATAGGCAGGAGAAAATGACAGTGTATTGCTCAAGCAAACCATGCCTTTTCCAAAGCAGGGCAAAGTGAAAGTTTTACTTTGCTTCTCCATCCTCTCAGTAGCATATACTCACCTTCCTTTCGCTCTTCCACAGCTCTGTTCTGGAGCAAAGTGAAATGCCCGACACTTCTGGGTATGGATGAACATGTGACTCTTTTTCCCTCTGTTATGGGAGTGCTGGTACCTCATAATTGGCACAGCACAGTCTCTTTAGGTTAGTGAAGAAGTCATAAGCCCCCCAAGTAATCTCTGGAAAGTCATTTTGGAGTTTACACAGGGCTTTCTTTTCCTGGTCCCGAAGGCTAAATGGAGCAGCAAAGGGGCAAAGAAAGGTAAGTATATCCTGCTGGAGAGGGGGGGGGGGGGGGGCAAGGTTACCTTTTTTTACC